TTTCCGATCCTCTCGTTTTGCTTTTTGGGTTTTTGTTGCAATGAGTAATCATTCTGAACTTACTAGGATCCATTCGTTGTGACCCTTGTATTTACAAGTTAGGCAAGCTCACTGTGTTGGTGTTTGAAGGTTTCAAATTGGGTCGTGATTCTGACAATGTTTTCCAGAAATGTAGTCATTTCATGGGTTTCTTCCTACGGTAGTTTATCTTTATTGGGTCCTTGTTGAAATGTTGTTATTATGCAGATGAACCCTTCTTACAGACCGAGCTTGGTGGATGCGGATGTTAAGGATACCCAGGTTCTTCCAGTTGCTGGGTCTGACTTAGTGTTGACACCTTCACAGTGGAGCAGTCATGTTGTTGGTACTATCCTTTGATTTTCCTCCTTTTTTTCGTATATGTTTGTGTCTAGATTGGAGGGGTTTGACCATTAGTGGTTTTCTTCCTTTAGGAAAAATTAGTTCTTGGATCGACCTTGATTCTGAAGATGAGGTGTTAAGGATGGATTCAGAAACAACATTGAAACAGGAAATAGCTTGGGCTACCCATCTCTCCTTACAGGTGTGTGTGTGACTAATTCCTTGTACATTTACTCTAGAGCAATGGATTTTACTTCCCTGCCGCCGCTGTGAGTGCTTGTGGGATGAATTGTCATATTAATGTTTTGTGTCACTCACAGGCATGCCTTCTTCCTACTCCTAAACGATCTTCATGTGCCAATTATGCTAGGTGTGTGAATCAGATTTTACAAGGGCTTAGTAACATGCAGGTACTTTGCTTTTCCTTGATGTTCAACTTTTTTTTATCATCCCTTTATAGGGTTTTCTTTCTTTAATCAAGCTCTAATGTTTTCTTCTTTTTTTCGTTATCTTTATTTGTTTCGTTCCAATTCTGCCTTGAAGTTATGGCTTAGGATTCCACTGGTCAAGTCTGATGGTGATTCGATGGATGTTAATTCGGAAGGTTTGGTAAGGCATAATTGTTGCACATGCAAACTAGTCAAATTCACGTATACGTAACTTATTTTAGTTGCCTTTTCAAATTCTTTAGATACTGTCCTGCCGAACCTTGGTTATCATAATGTTTCTGCTGATCACATGGATAATTAACTGCTGTATTACAACTTACAAGCTTTTGAACTCAAAAGGCTTAAGTGAATGACTCTGTGTGTTCTTGTGTTTGTAACCCTACTCTTACTATGATCTCTTTATTTTTTTCACTTTATACCCTCATATATACAGAATGATTCCTGGGAGCTTTGGAATTCATTTCGTCTTCTCTGTGAGCATGACAGTAAGCTGTCCGTTGCTCTTGATGTTCTGTGAGTCGATATAAAAAATCCTTGCTTATTTTTATCTGATTTGAAATCAAAGTGTATTTCGTTCCTTTTGTGATCATAACAAAAAATTTCCTTTTCTAGGAGTACGCTACCCTCTGAACCTTCACTAGAACGCTGGTTGGGAGAGCCCGTCAGGGCAGCCATAATAAGCACCGATGTAAATCTTTCGTGTGTTTGTAAATCTTTACGACTTTGATCCATGAAATATTTCTGAGTTTGGCAATTTTGGTCTGGCAGTCTTTCCTAACGAATGCCCGAGGTTATCCTTGCTTGTCAAAGCGGCACCAGAAACTAATAACGGGATTCTTTGATCATGCTGTGCAGGTAATAAACAAGTTGCAGTTTGAAATGTAAAAACTTCTATTTTTTGTGCTGTTAGTGCTGCCATTTAATGGAAATTTATCCAATCTTATGTCTTGTGGTTGTGGTTATGGCTATAAGCTTGGTTACCATCTTTTTACAAAAAAGCTCTTTGATTACGCTCAATCATAGAATTATCTGAAACAGGTTTCTCTTTGGCTCATCTCACAGTTTATGATCATCAATCTTGCTAATGCAGATTGTTATTTCTGGGAAGTCTCTGCATAATCTTCAAAGGGCTAACACAAGCTCAACTGTGGCCAGTTCTGAGAATAACACCGGGGGTAATTGCTCCCTTTGTTCTTTTTAATTGTATGCTAGGGTTGATCACTCGATTTGGTATGGTCTTTTATTTAACGATATCCTCATGTTCAAGTTCAACTTTTGCTCCGTATTATATACATTTTCATTGTGACTGTCCTGTATAAGGTGTTGTTTGATGTGTTCTCAAACATGTTCGGCTCTCAGGTTTGCAGAAGCATCCCCTTCGGTCATATTTGGATTATGTTGCTTATCTGTACCAAAAGATGGAACCTCTGCCTGAGCAGGAACGCATAGAGGTCTGTATGCTGGATTGTTTTCCTCTTCTCTGTCTCTGCTCAGTGCTAAAGCCATGCAGAAGTTACTCAAGTTTGACGACTTTCTTGATTCTTTTGCAGCTTGGCTACAGGGATTTTTTACAGTCCCCCTTGCAGGTGATTTTTTTTTATGATTTTTGGTTCTATGATCTGGTTAGCTATTATCCGTGTTTACCATTGTCATAAGTACATTGCTCTGTCCTGACTTAAGAAAGATACCTGTACTGTTTAATGCAGCCACTGATGGACAACCTAGAAGCCCAAACCTATGAGACATTTGAGAGAGACTCTATTAAATACATCCAGGTAGTCTGACTCTACTTTAGATATAAATTTCGCAGTTCTTTTTTCTGGGGTTTCCTTCTCTCGTTTTCATATTCTTGTTTCCGTTAGCTGAGGAGAAGGGCAGATACTTGCAGTGTATGCATGGCGTGGAACAAGTTGAAAGCGACATTATCTACTGTGATGGGTTTTTATGAATCATGCTATCGGTGTCTAACTTTCATCCCCCTTCCCCCTTTTATTGTAGTATCAAAGAGCAGTTGCTAAAGCTTTAGTGGATAGGGTCCCTGATGAAAAAGCATCTACCTTAACCACTGTAAGTAACTTGTCACCATTTCTTGCTATCAACACTCTCAAAATGCATGCCATAATGAGTTTAATTTGTATATCCATACCAAAGGCCGGCTACTAAGCGAACTAAAATTTTATTTTGCATATAATGCATGCTTTTTCCACGTACAAAAGGTCTTGATGGTTGTGGGAGCAGGAAGAGGACCCCTTGTTAGGGCATCATTACAGGTAAGATTAGATGCCTTACATACATCTTGGAAACTGCAAACAAAATCATGTTGATAATGAGAAGACTCATATATTTCCCATCGGGTTTATTCTTTTTCCCAGGCAGCTGAAGAAACTGGAAGAAAGCTGAAAGTTTATGCTGTGGAGAAGAACCCCAATGCAGTTGTTACACTTCATGTGAGTTTATACAAATTTAGTTCGGTTACATTGTTTTCTAGTTCATGTGACAAGTTTCAAACTCAGTTTGTATAATTGCTTTCTTTTGAAATAGAATTTGGTTAGGATGGAAGGATGGGAAGCTGTCGTTACAATAATATCATGTGACATGCGTTACTGGAATGCTCCTGAGAAAGCTGATATCTTGGTAAGTACAGATTTTGGTGGCTATTTATTTATATCCATGAATCCACCTTATATAATGTGCCTGATTAGTATTTAATTACCCTTTTGGTTTTGCCTCTTCATTCCAAGGTGAGTGAACTGCTAGGCTCTTTTGGAGATAATGAACTCTCTCCCGAGTGCCTTGATGGAGCGGAAAGGTTTCTGAAGGAGGACGGCATTTCAATACCTTCCTCGTATGTGTATTCCTTTCCTTAGTATAATCTCCCTAAGCAAATATATATAAATTTTCTGATAGATACCTGCATTTTCCTTCTGGAAGTTCTTACATCATATTGTTTCCTGTTTTATGATTGAAATGTCCTACAAGTATCCATCTGTTTCAATGTACCCTTTTCAGGTATACGAGTTTTATACAGCCGGTTACAACTTCAAAAATCCACAATGACGTAGGTGTTTCTCGTCTGAGCCGCTATTTATTATTTATAGATAAATTTCATATCAACTTGTGGTTTTTGCTTCTATTTTGCAGATTAAGTCTCATAAAGATCTTGTGCACTTTGAAACTGCTTATGTTGTGAAACTACACAGTATAGCCAGACTTGCTCCTACCCAACCAGTGAGTCTCCATTTTTTTCATATCTTTTTAGGTTAAAGCGTTTTGATCGATAGATGGGTACACACAGACAGGCACGTGTCGGGAATCACGGGATATTACCCAATCTCGGATCTGTTTTGGTTGGTTACCCAAAGGTCGGGTACCGAAGATAATTTTTGGGTGTCTACAGATATTCAAACCCTAGATTCAAACACGAAATTTTGAATTTTTTTTTTCAAATATGTATCATATATTAGCGGTTGGCTCAGGTCGGGTATACGAAATTTTTGGGTTACCGAACTCGAAACCAAAATTTTGAGAGATTTTAGTTTAGAATGTGATTTATTTAAAAACTAAGGGAAAAAATATAATGTTCTCTTCACTCGGTATCCGTAGATAATACCCATCTCGGATCCAATTATCCAAACATGCCTTAATGTAATCTCGTCTGATATAACAATCTGTACTCGAATTTTGGTTTTTTTTTTGCCCAACCCTACATACATACAAACACCTATATAAACACAGGCAATCCGTTGAGACTGCTCCCAGTGCCTGAGATAGCCAAAATCAATTGTGTTTGTGGTAGCTCATGGCATTCTGTTTATTTTACAGGTATTCACATTTACTCATCCGAACTTCTCGACAAAGGGTGACAACCAACGATACAAAAAGCTACAGTTCAAGATACCTAGCGAGGCAGGATCTGCCTTGGTGCATGGTACGAGCCCTGGTTCCTTCTCCTTGTCTAATAAAACCCTAAACCTTAAACTAGGAGTATTTCCTTTACTAATGGTAAAACTGCATTTCATGACTCGGATGAGTAGGCTTTGCTGGCTATTTCGATGCCGTACTTTATAAAGACGTGCATCTTGGCATCGAACCTTCAACCGCAACCCCAAACATGTTCAGCTGGTACGGTAGTAAAATGTTTGAACTGCTGGTTCCAAACTAAATCCTTTTTACTGAATTTTCGCATCACGATTTGGTCTGTCCTCTCCTACAGGTTTCCGATCTTTTTCCCGTTGAGGAAACCTGTTTATGTTCAACCCGACTCACCAATACAAGTACACTTCTGGAGATGCCGTGGTTCCACAAAGGTAGGAACCCCCCAAGTTTTCAAACTGATGATCACTTTGCAATCAGAAAATGGATTTGATTAATGTATCTGTTGTCAGGTTTGGTACGAATGGTGCGTGGCTTCTCCGACTCAGTCTCCAATGCACAACACCAACGGTCGTTCATATTGGGTCGGTCTCTGAGGTTGTCGTTGAAGAGCCTTAGATCGAAGAATCTCTGTATCTCTGTGTGTTGCATCAGTCTCTATGTGTGTTACATCAAATACAACTGCCAAAAAAAACTTAGGTAGGAAGACGTAGAAGAATCTTTTGGATTTGAGACAGCAAAGAATCCAAATGGGTATGAACCATTACATCTCTCCCTCCCCTCTCTCTCTCTCTCTCTGTGATCTGAGTTGGTGGAGACTTGACTGACAAAAATGTCCAAAGCAGACAAATATTATTGTAGAGAAAGAGCTCACTTGGCAAAATTTGGAATTTACAGAGTAATATCATAAGAATATTCTGACAGTGGGAAGAAAAAAAACACGAGATTGTTATAACGAGAAAGAGAAGACAGTGTGATTCCGACAGCCCATGAAATTGTAATCTAAAGGAAGATGAAATTATAGAGAAGTATATGGTAAGCCTTTGAAGACCATTCTCACCAACACAAATCATCATCTCTCCATCACCATCACCTTCCATGGCAATGCTGCTGATTTGGAGCTGATACTGTACGGACAATCTGCTGGAAGATGTCCGACATCGCAGCTCGTCAGAGGCTTTGTTCTTCACAGCGCCATTCTCTCTGGCATATACACTCTGGTTCGAAATCTACAAAGTAAGCTCTACATGTCTTGGGTTCTGTTCCTATGTTGAAAGCTCCTCTCAGGGGATGTTACTGATTTAGCAGAACATAGACAAGATAAACCCCTTGACAACTGACTGCCCAATTCTAGTCATACATGCAAGTCTCCTCTCTTCTCCACCGATTCATCAGCTTGAATGCCGACGACATTGGAATGTTTACCATTACCTGTGATTGATTTGAGTTGATCATTGAGATAATTGCATGGGACATAGAGCGAGATTGTTGACTTCAAACACGGGAAGCTGTTGTGGGAGCGAACTCGTAAGACCCATTGTGTGGTGAAGGTTGGGGGACATTACAACCTCGAGACCTACCCCGAGTACCCTCAAGCACTTGCTCAAGTTTATAAACGCAACGGAGGAACTCTCCCTCACGAATCCAGGGCCCAAACAACTAACTGATGAGACAAGCAACCGAACACCACAGGTTCGAGGTAGTGGCAGGACCAGAAGACACAATAGATTCCTCCACCACATCCATGTGTTTTAAATCTCCAAACACCATGAATGCTCAGTTTGCTCTCTAGTCAAAGCTTTTGGAGTTGTTTCCTCAACATAGACAAACAAGTGTGAAACACAGGACACGGGCAAATCAAAGATCATGTTGGTGGTATTCAGCTTAGGACAGCTGCTTGACCTGGATCTCTTGTATAAAGATGTAATGTTAGTACAACTTTTGTTACTTATAGGAGACGCAACAGGAAAACTCCATTTCTTGCGAGTTCTAGGCTCCCTTAGCTAAGCTCTGCCATTTTCACCTATATTTATTCATCTGAACACAGACAATATTCCACTGCATATTCACCAATAAAGTAGCGGCAATATTTGAGGTGCTGCATCACCAAGCCGATAAATGTGCTTGATCATTCTAATCCGGAAACTGGATGCCACTCTTTCTGAGTATGTCCACAATGCTGAGGTTTTCGCACTCTGAACTTCGTTCTTCTTCTCCGCTGTTGCGAAGAATGGCTTCGATAACATCTTTCAGAGAGACCGGAAGATGGTCTTCGGCTGAATTATTAGCAGCTTCCAAAACCCTGAATTTGATGGCCGCAGAAGCAGAAGCAGAACCTGGCCGTTTTCCCGAAACCCTAGCGTTTTCAGCCCCAGAGAGAGGAGATGCTGAATCTCCGTCAAGACCCACGAACGCGGATACGGCTTCCTTTCCCGAAACTCGAACATTTACAGTCGGAGAGGACGGAGAAGAATCAGGCGTTGCCTCCAAACCGCTAACGTTTTTGGCCCCAAACAACGGAGATTCCAAATCTCCAGTAGCTAAAGCAGGTTCTGCTCCCGAAACCCTAACATCTTCGGTCGCAGAGGACGAAGCAGAATCAGGCGTCGCCAACAAAACTCTGATCTCCTCGGCCCCAGAGGATGGAAATTCCGAATCTCCGGTTGCAATCGCAGATGCAGAAGCAGGATCCGTCAATGAAACCCTAACTGTGGGATCCGAATCTGCAGCGGAGGAGAAATAAGGCTCCTCGGGAGGAGTACGAAAAATCGAATCCTGACTAGTCAAAATCGGTGTTCGGACCACCGGTGACGAGAAACGATCTCCGAGAACCTTGGAATGGTCGCTACCCTTGCTGGAATCCGACTCTGTTCGATCACCGGATGAATTCTCCGGCAGATTTCGGCGATCTGGCGAGATACCGGCGAAGCGGGAGTGTTTGAGAATCGATGCTTGAGATGACGTCACGCTTCCGAACTCGCTGTCGTCACCTCCGTCGTCTCCCTCCATTTTTCTTCACTTCGATTAAAAAAAAAATTGGGGTTTTTGGACAGAAGCATTCAACTTTATATGATATTATAATGCACCCATAAAAGTAAAAAAAAAAAGTTTTAAAGATATATATATATATATATATATATTAGCTGCAATAAATCATCTTCGAATTATATTGGACGCTAAAATTTGCATAAAAACTTGAGAAAAAAACCGAGCTTTAAGACTAGGGAAGCAATTAAAATTGTATTCCGGATCACTGTATCTTTTCCACATTTTCGTATGACTTGATTTTGATTATAACTCTATTTTTATTGATGAAAATAATTATTTTTTAAAAATTCTTTTTTTTTTCAAGTTTCTTTGATATTTAATTTGAATTAAATTCAGAATCAATTTTCCGATTTTTATTTTTATTTTTATATGAGCTTAGATTCGGGTACAAATTGGTTAGGTAGGTCCAAACCGGAATGACCATTGCCTATTTTTATATTAATACCTCCTTCAAGAGGAAGAAAACAAAACTAACTGATGATGACTTACAATACGTAGCCAATAGATACCATTTTCCAGCCTACAACTAGATCCAAGCACAAAACCTCCATTACCGAACTCTTCTTCATGACAGAGACAGACAGACAAAGAAGAAGAAGTGTGAGTGTCTGTGAACTAAGCATATGCCAAATCACACTACTTACTCACCTTCCCAACCCAGTTGGAGAGCTCTCTGCTCCCACATCGAAGTGATCTTCTTCTCTTTTCTCAGCAACAGCTCCGCCCTCTCCCTCGCCGTCTCGCACGTTTCGGTTGCGGCGTTGCACTTCTCCGCCTCCTTTTGGTACTGAGAAGCCACCCTCCTCGCCTCCGCCACTGTTACGTTCATATGGCGGGTATGCTCTTCCGCCACCGCCTCCTGCAGCTTCAGCTCTTCCGTCAGCAGATCCACAAACTGCTTCTCCGTCTCCTCCTTCAGATCCCCATCATCTCCTCCGCAATCTGTCACCACTCTCAAGCCGGTATCAAACGTTACAAAATGCATCTCCATGTCACACACACACATATACAGATGTAGAGCTAAGGTTCCAATTCACTTCACAGACAAAGGGGAATAGTATACCCAAAAAAAAAAAAAATCAAAGGTGAGATGAGCTCTAACCTGAAATAGAGAGGTTTGCAAGCCCTGCAAAGGAATACAAAAGCCAAAACGGCAACTTATTAGCATTAAATGATACAGTCACTGAGGATAAAAAAGTAACCCAAGTTCAAAGATCCAACACTAAAAACCAGACAAATCAGATGCTGTTGGAGCAAGATCCAAAATTTCAGGAAAATCTAAGATCCATACATCAATCTGGGAAAAAGGGCACCTAGAATTCTGATCATTTCTCCCAAATTGTCTAAAAAAACGTTAATCAAACATGTCTTCAAATTAATACCCAGTAACAAACAAAGAACACCTAGATCGAACCAGAGGCAGAGACAAAATGGGAATCGTACCGGGAGCAATCTGGAGGAGAGACAACGGAGGAGGACAGTCACAGACACAAGGAGGACAAACGGAGTTTCTACGGGCGGATCCAGAGAAACCCTTGTTGAATTTCCAATAAAGAGCAGGACCACACACGGCTAAGGCCGAAACCACCGCGAAGATCACCAGACAGCATCTCACGCAGTCTCCCGACCGCCGCGCCATCGATGCGGTGACAAAAAGCTTATATCGAATCGTCCGAGTCAATCAAGTGGAACAGCAATGGCGATGGTGGGAACGGAGAAGAAGCATGAGACTGCCAGCGAGCGAAGGAAACAAGAGAAGAAGAGATGCAGTGTGATTCAGAAGGCCTAAACGCGGAAAGAGGAGAGGAAGAGGCTTCAGAAACGACGTCGTTGATTAGGTCCAGAGCGTCGGTGGTGCTTCTCTCACGCTTCCACTATGTTTGTACTTTTCCTTATTTGCAAGTTTTACCCTTTGACTTCTGTAATATTCACAAAATGACACTCCACTTTCATTTGACTTCTCTTATGAGCTTTTTGGCCGTTATATGATTAAATTTAAATATACTAAATAAAAAATAAAAAAGTACTCTTAGTTACCTGATTCGTGTAAACAAAAATCATTTTGTATAACAGGAGACGATTTAGAGATATTATATAATTCTTTGTTGTTTTCTATTCGGATTATATTTTAATTAGCAATATACAACAAACCATAGTAATCTAATAAATGGGTATGAGATTTTGTAAGAAGATTTGAATGGCAATATGAAAGAGACATAATAATTTCCTCAAAATAAAATCTCAAAGTACTTTTGTCTCCTCCACAAACCATCACTATACATAGAAAGAAAATCAGAAAGAAGTACAAAAAGCTAGGTTACAAACCCCATATATAGATTGTGTTTTTATATGAAATAAATTTGTAGAAAACTTTGTCTTTCTCGTTTTGAAAGTTTCATATTCTTTTCTGTCTTTAATTTGTCCGATCTCTCTCCTTCTTCTTTGTACAGTTAAGCCAATGAGAAACAGATCTGATGAACAAAAGAAAACAGCCATAAAAAAAAAAAAAAAGCTAACTGGCGGGTGGAATATGATTTCCATATATATGTTACATGGATAGAGATTCGGTACAAGACCTAAGCAACTTTGAGTGTATGAATCCGAATACTCAAGAAATCTTTCCTTGAGAAAAACACCATTTTTTTAGATAATATGTGGATTGGGCAACTCAACATATATTTTTTTTATAAAGTTGAGCCGGGATGGGCCTCGATCGGTGGGTGTGGAGAACACTTTATGCTCCCACAACCACTAGGTCACCCACTTCTGGCATTAGGATAACTCAACATTGTACGGCTCAAGGATGGGTTAAATCTCTTTTTTAATCTAGGTTTGAGTTTTTATTTAGAGAGTGACATTCATTTGGATTTCTACGTACGGTCTTCTGGAAAATGTTGTTGGGTCGAATGTCTAATGGATTTCTGGATTATCAAAAAATAAAAGTGAATCGGGTTCATGGGTCGTTTGTCTTTCCTCTTAAACTTTGGTTACACCTCTCTTCCAGTTGGAATTATTTTCAACAACCATGTGAACCTAGCTACAACATCACATTATATATATTATCTTTTAAATTGGTTAATAAAATGATCTTATTAAGACTAAATTGGTTTGTATAAGAGGGTTATGCTCGCTAAATCATAGGTTTAGGACCACTCCAAGTCCCCATTTGTTAAAGAAGAAAATATCATCCACGTGTGGATTTGGAAGTCCAGAAATCCGATTGTAATTCATTATGATGACGAACACCGTGTGGTTCAAATCTATTTGGTTTCGTTCTCACAATTACATCATGTTATTCGATTTGGCTATGTTTAATTCCATAAAATTATAGCACTTGTTTTTTTTATATATATCTAAAATAGAATCTGCGTCGATAAAATCATAAAGGTAAAACAATATCTTATTTCATTAGATACACCAAATGAGATTTAAAGAGTATCTTTGCATCACGACACTAGTGACTATACCAGAAGTTTTAAGAGGTTTTGGGAGAGACATCTACATATAATTCTCCGGTTTGGGATTAGTCTGAGTTTCGGAGCGAGATACCCGATTATCCAAAAAACCTTGAGCGACGAGATCCATTGACGTCGCGACGATGATTCTCAGCTTTAAAGTGCGAGAACGAGTCTATCGTCCTTCGAATACCTTCCTGCACCAAGGATACATCCCGTCATGCATTTCGGCAAAACAAAAAAAAAATTAAATGTCGAGACAAAAGGAAGAAAACAGTAACTTGTAGCATGAGGATCCTCGGATCAAACGAGGTTACTTGTGTCCATAGTTACCATTTTCTTTCGATATCTCAACAAAAAGGAAGTAGAATACGTTATCCGTCTCAAATGTGAAAAGATCAATTTTATAACCCGAAGTGGGACGAGGGGCGAGTAGCCGAGCCTATCCTGAGCTTTGGAGCTATCATACGTTGTGCTGAGAGTGAGGAGCCTAACTCTCGAGGGTGTCAGCTGTGGAAGGCTCATACCGTACGGACCGAACAATTTATAGGTAAGGTCCACCAGACGGGCAATCGGCATCACAATAAACGTAGGAATCTTTATCCTCGGCCTGCACGCGAAATTCCCCCGATTAATCTGAAGATCATGCAAGCATATAATATAAGTATAACATCTGAAGCGTGCAAAAAGAACGTAACTTGTCGTAGCCAAGTCCCTCGAGAATATGTGATATGAGCTCCCAAAGTAAAATGGGCTCCATGTTGGTGATGAAATATGACTGCACAATTCCATCAAATGCCATATAAAACATTGCAAGAAAATGATTTACCGTATCCAAAATCTTATTGAAATATCACATAGTTTGTTTTTATATGAAAGATAATATGTGTATTTTTATGTGTATAAATATATATATATACGTGTATATGCATATGTATGTATATGTATGAGCTCTTATTTGGTCATCACACCTAACCCTAATATGATAGATAGAGAGAGAGAGACTATAGCACGTGGCACTAATGCAAGTACAAGACATAAAATAAAACCCAGCCTCCTATTAATGCCCTCACGTCTCCCTCTCACACACAATCTTTGTATGTATGTATGTATGTATGTATGTATGTATGTATGTATGTATGTATGTATGTATGTATGTATGTATGTATGTATGTATGTACGTACAAACTTCACCTCCAGAAGCAAGAGCTCGTTCAGCACAGACATGGGCATGTGCAACGTTTTCAACATAAGTGAGATCGTAAAGATTGTTTCCATCTCCTATTATGAACTGCACCATATATATATATATACATATATTGAGATGTATTTAATTCAATGTATGTATGTATGTATGTATGTATGTACGTACCTGACCCGCAGCTTTGTGAGAAACTTCACCTCCAGAAGCAAGAGCTCGTTCAGCACAGACATGGGCATGTGCAACGTTTTCAACATAAGTGAGATCGTAAAGATTGTTTCCATCTCCTATTATGAACTGCACCATATATATATATATACATATATTGAGATGTATTTAATTCAATAGAAGAAAATACTATATCAGATAAATATTGCAAAAGAAATTAACTCGTATAAAACAACCTTGGATTTTCCAGATTTGGCGGCGGAAACGAGCGATGGGACCAACAATCTGTCGCCCGGACCGAAAATCGCGCTAGGACGGATGCAGCATGTCAGCAGTCCCTTTCTGCCGTTCGCCTCCATTACCAACGCTTCCCCTTCCGCTTTTGTTGCAGAATACCAATCATTGTGCTGAAAAATATTGATAAGTTCAATAGGGTATTCTGACAAAAAAAACGAGCTTAATGTATACGACCTTAGATGGACATGGCATCGATCGATTCATTGGCGTTAAGAATATCGTGGATTCCATCGAACACGACGGACGATGAGCTCGTATAGATAAGCCTCTTTACACCCACCTCCACACAAGCTTCGATCACATTCTTTGTCCCTGAAATCAATACGCCTTGTGTGTGTTTGTGTTTTTTTTTTGGGAATTGGAGAGAAACAGACAAGTTTGAAGAACAGAAAAAAAAAAACAAACAAGAAAACTCTTACCTTGCACGTTAATGGAGTACTGAAGCTGGTACTTGTTGATCGACGAATCCAGAGCCGCCATGTGAAACACAACTTCTGCTCCTTCACAAGCTGTTTCATTAACACAATCCAGAGATCATATATATGAATAGGAATCACCTTAAATCAGGAACGAGCATGTTTTTTTTTTGTTGTGTGTGTGTGTGTGTGTGTAGTGAAGAGAACCTTTGGACAGTTGAGCTTTGTTTCGGAGATCGGCGGAGATGTACTGAGCCCGACCGGATCTTAGGGCTTGGCCGAGAATTCCGCTCTCTTCCTGAGGGTCGAGCTTTATTGTCGGAGCCAAATCGGCGATGATGACGTGGAACATTTCCAGGCGTAAGAGCATCTCCACAAGATGCCTCGCCACAAATCCCCGACCGCCGGTGACTACGCACCACCGCGTCTCCTCCGCCGCCGATGACATGTCAACGGCCAAAATCACCGGTGGAGAAGATAAGCAAAGCAAAAGATGCTTCGGCATCATATAAATATTAACTATCCGCTTAGATTTCTGTTTTCCATGTAAAAAAACCGGCCAATTTTATCCGCTTAGATTTCTGTTTTCCATTTAAAAAAAAAAAGAATATTCCAAAATCATACCTCAAACTTCTCAATTTTTAAAAAATAAAACCTAAACTTTGTTTTTTTATAAAATAAAATCTCAACTTCATTTTTCAGTCAAAAATAAACCTGAACTTTAGAATCTTTATCATTTTTAATCATATTGCTAACGTGCTGTTCCGACATATATATGTTAAAATTAAAATGATCACACTATTAAAATTATATATTGGTCACATATATCACATCATTCAAAATAGATATGATCGTCACATTTTGATCATATAATTGGTCACACAAAAAAAGTTAAAAAGATTATGGTGTGAAATCCATGTAGTAAAGTAGAGATAGTTTTGATATAATGACAGAGACATGTGATTTTATCTCTATCCTCCAAATTGGAGGGTATTGGAATATATGTGATTATATTAATCTTATTTTTATAGATATATTTTAGGTTAAAAGTTTTTCAATAGAAATTTATATACATTGTTTTGGATTTAACGGAGTAATATTTGTCAAATGACTAATGTTGATCTTTGAGGTCTTGAATCTCTTGATTATATTTCAGTTCATTTATTTTATTTTTTCGTTTCATATACTGTTTACACTTTGGTTTTCGATTCACTTTGCATTTTATTTGGATTTAGTTATTATTAGAAAAATGTTAGTTTAAAACATCTAGTCTGATTTTTTTTATATTGTGTTGAAGTTCATTTAACTTAATTTAAAAAAACATAACTGATATATTTTTAGATTAGTCTGTTAATTTATTAAAAATATAGTTATATATTACCAATAATGACTCAACTTACATTAGGGAGACAACGTAGTATATCTGTCTTCTCAAACCTTTTATGGATTCTGACATATAATATAAAAACGTAGTAATATGTAAGGTTATTTATCTAAAGTTGGAAACACAATTTTTTTTTTTTTACTTTTCAACCTTTTATTGATTCTGCATATAATTAACATAAATATCTAGTAGTGCGTATAAGATTATTTATTTAGATTATGGAGAATGCTCAACGGGTAATAATGTGAAAAATATTTTCCGCCGTACATTTACATGAAAAGAAATTATAGAGCGACGAATTATACATAAAAAAAAATATAAAAAATATATCAATTATATCGTATAGAAGTTCATTAAAAGAAAAGAAATTTTTGTGGAAGAATTAATAGTCTGATATGATAATATTTAAATTAAGTAATATGTAGAAGGTTCTTTGTTTAATTGGAAGCCTAGTGACGATATTTAAATTATGGTGAATACTCAATGGATAAATAGTACGACCAAGAAAGTATAGAGAAATATAATGTGAGAAATAATCCCAACAGTAGATTCGTAAAAAAAAAAGAGAGAGGAAAAGTTGGTATAAAATTAGTCTAACAATATCATATATTTAGATTTAATTTCTTTTTAGTGACGGTTTATATGTATAGAAAAAAAAACTATATCTTTTTTTTTGGTAAACAAAAAAAAAACTATATCAATTACATATATATATTATTACCAAAAAAAGTACATATATATATATATATATGTAGAAAATTAATTAAAGGTGAATCCACTCTACGATATACGTCCAATGCAATGAAGAATTAAATGACTGGAAAGCATGCATGGACGTTGAGTTATGTCTTTGTTCATAAAAATGATGTTTCTGCCATTTAAGCGATGGCGATGAAACAGTTCCGTTGAAATGTCAAAGAGAAGATGTGGTGGAGACAGACCGGATATTCAATTCGTGCCGATGTTGTCGGCTATTAAGATTTGAAATTTAATTTCATATTTTCGGATATTTAGAAAATAATTGGGTAAAAAAGTTAAAGCGTAATTTTATAATTGTTTTTAATAAAGATTGGGGCTTTTGTAATTTTTTCAAGAAAAATAAAGATACTTTGTAATTTTGGGAGTTTTTTATTTTTATTTTTAAGAAAGAGAAATTAGGAGGAGAATACGGTGCCAATTTTGCCAAATAAATTGTGGCTGTTAAATAAATAAATTTGAATTTTCAAAACTATGTCATATTTAATGCTTGACAAAATTTTGTCACCTCACGTCATCATCGGAATAAATGTACCGACCAACCTTTCAACAACTCCGTCTGATATAGTTTAGGGATAATAACCGAATAACCGAATTGAATAAGATATATCCGTGTCTAAACTAAATCCGATATAAAAACCGAACGATTATGATTTTTTTAAACCCGAAAAAACTAAAACTGAATCGAAGAGAATAACAAAAATAACTGAAAAAACCGATAATTTTTTTTAAAAAATGAATTTTTAACTGAAACCGAACCGAATCGAACCGAAGTTTATATAAAAACTGAATGATTATAGTTTTTCTATAACCGAAATAATCGAACTGAATCCGAACCCAAACCCGAAATGACAGCACCTCGTAAGGAAGTCTTTGGTCGAAAAAAGGTTACAGTTTCTGCTACCCATTCTTCCACGGGACAAGCGGTAAATGGCGCCATGAAATGGGGGTTGTAGTAGGGCCGGTAATTAACTATGGCTGTGTAAAGAAACGCGTGTCTCCTCCTTCCGGAGACTACTGTAGTGGGAAAAGAGCCTATGATTTTTCAAGAGGTCATGAATTCGATTTCATTTCAACGAGTCTGTCATTTTGAGTGGTTTACATGTTTCACGTGGTTTAGAATCCCTCCGAAAGATTGTGGTTCAAGAACTTAACACTTGAAACATTCATACGAATGCAAAGCTTCACTCATTGGTGTGACCATAACTAGACTTTACTCGCGGGTTCTGAATGTTTTGTCAAGCCTGCTTTCAGGGTGGAGAAAGCATCCAGCTCTGTCCAATATTCTCTTGATGACGTTCGTTGAAACGATTTGTTCTTGTCAGACATGAGATCCAACTGAAGCATACCCTTGTCTTGTTTGTGTGTGTGTATATATATATATGGATATTCTATTACAAAACCTTGAGATCCCGAGAAATGGCGTCGTGGAATCTCGTTGAAGGCACGACGTTATCGAATGGCGAAATCAAAACCTTCCCAAATGGATTGGATTCTCCACAGAATCTATGCTACATGACTTCAGGAGCCAGAACATTAACGTTTCCAAGTTTGTGTTCTTCGAGATTTGTGTTTAGATTCTGCATTGGGCCTAGATCGTGGGCCTGCATCTCAGTTTGCGCTTAACTAGTTAAAGCCCACCTGACGGGTTCGACGACGGCCCATTGTGTCGTATCCGGTTTTCCACCACGATACATAATGTATACTTATATTCGATTTTACAAAATAATTTAATTCATTGATTTGGTGAAATATTAAAGTTTTCAATTAAACTAATAAAATTTAAATAGAAATAACGATAATCGAAGAAGTTTTTGAAAATAAATATTTCTATTAAAAGTAAGCATAAATAAAATTTGTACCGAATATAAATAAATAAATAAATATATATATATATAATAGAATATAGAAAAATCCAAAAACATCTATTTCATGTAAAATACCAACAAAAAAAAACATGACAAAAATTATTGAGGGGACACATACATTAAGTTCAAATTGAATGCCCACCAAAAAAAGAGGAATATGAGGCTCAGATTTCACAGGGAAGAAAAGTTAGTGAGTGAATAGTGAGTAGTTTGTGGTCATTTTTGTTATTAACAGAATATTCGTGTTAAATTGAATTGAATAAGACATAATCATATTCGAACTGAATTTATATTAAAACTGAATGGTTATAATTTTTTTAAATCCGAAAAAATGACACCGGATCGAAACGAACCGAATAAAAAAATAACCGTAAAATCTGACAATTTCTTTGAAAAATTAAACTTTTTTTCCGAAAACGATCCGAACCGAAATTTATATAAAAACTAAATGGTTATAGTTTTTCTACAACCGAAATAACTGAATCCGAATATAACCGAATCAAACGCGAAGCCAAACCCAAAATGGCCAACTCTACGAGTGAGTTAGCGATTTAATACAAAGATTGATGTTTTTATTGTTTTATTAGATATTTTTTTTGTTTGGTATAATCTCCAAACATTGTGGCTCATAATCATCTTAGAACACAACACAAAGACTTAGATCTCTCAAGTTCCTCCACCTACTCAGCAACATATTTATTCATTCCCCAATGCCTTCCTCGTTGCAGTTGGATCTAATATTTTTTTTTTTAATTCAAAAATTCACAATACTATCGACCTAATTATATCTCTCAAAATTCGAAAGTATCACACAATTATCATCGTATTCATCTAATCTTTCTACAAATAATAAATCTAATTATATAGATTGATGTTTCCATTTTTTTTAATAATTGGTAAAAGTTGTGTTTGAGTAGTTCCAATAAATTAGAAAAAATGAAAATAACCGCGTAACTAAAAAATGACATAAGAGAAACATATTTATAATATGGTTGAGGGAGGGACGAAAAATATATATATATATATATATATATTTTCTCTTTGGATGAGAATGAATGAGGACGTGTGTTGTTGGGTTCTTGTGGCAGGTGGCATTACATTTGGTAAACCCATCAATTTTGCTTTTTATTTTTATTTTCCTGTTGAAAGAATTTCTGGTGGATGAGCTTTGGAGTTAGCTTAGCTATCCCTTAGCAAATGTCGGCCACGGACACACGTAAAATTACAAAACCAAATATTACATAATTATATTTTAATGGAATATAATTAGATATTATTTTTAAAAAAAAAATGTTTAATAAAAATGTTTAATAAAATAAATATTTTTAATGAAAATAAAATATGATAATTTCAAAGTAAATAGTAATCATTATATAAAATCAAAGAATTTTAACTTAAAAAATGAACGAATCAAAATATAATCGAAACACAAAATTTCCACTACTAGTCGGAATGACAAGTTTGTTGGATTGTCCTAGCAAATCACTTTTCCAAAAACATATTTAAATATTTTTTAATAAAGAATTGAACATAAGAGTAGAAAAGAAAACAGGAAAATAGTAAAAAAAAAAAGGTAAAAATCTAAATATATTAATTAATATCTCACCAATAATAGTAAATAAAAAAAACCTATGATAGGCCCATCACCATCTTTTCGTCATGAGATTGTATGCACCAAAGAAACCCGTTTCAATCTAATTCCCACCATACGATATTTCCTCCTTTTTTGGCTTTTTATTATTAATTAATTATAATTACGGCGTGTCCTTGATCTTCTGCCTCGCATTCTTTCGCCGCTGTTTAATAAGTCAGTGTCCTCTCCCTTGGTTAAATAAGAAAGCTTCGAAAAGGTCCAATTCAAGATTCTTTCTCCTGTTTATACACAGACAGAACCCAAGTGTGATCCTCTGTTCTTGGGATTCTTTTACACTTCAGAGTCCTTATCCTCTCTCGGTTTGCAGTCATCAATGGCGGGAACCGGAGTATTTGCAGAGATATTGGACGGAGATGTTTACAAGTACTACTCCGACGGGGAGTGGAGGACTTCTTCTTCGGGCAAGAGCGTTTCAATTATCAACCCGACAACGAGGAAGACACAGTACAAGGTTCAAGGTATGAACTCGATGCTCTGTTGATCTCTTTTTTTTTTTCTTTTCTGGATTTCAGATGGGTATTCGATTGTATGAACTGGGCAAATGAGAAATTAAACGGTAGAAAGCCGTGTCGATCTATCGAGTTTTCTCTGTCACGGAGACAAAACTGGTCGATTTAGTTCAGTTCCTGAATATGAAATTGCGAGATTTCTTGAATTCTATCTGTTCGGGATAAGTCCTGTGAGTTCCTCTTTCCGTTTGAAAATTACGAAAGAACCATTCCACCACCATCTTCCGACATAACTGGAAACGACTGAAACATATGTTCGATTCTGCTTTCTTTTCTTTTTTTTCTGAAACAGCATGCACACAGGAGGAGGTGAACAAGGTGATGGAGATGGCGAAATCGGCACAGAAATCATGGGCGAAGACTCCTTTGTGGAAAAGAGCAGAGCTGCTTCACAAAGCTGCCTCAATCCTCAAGGAGAACAAAGCCGCCATGGCAGAGTGTCTCGTCAAGGAGATTGCTAAACCTGCCAAAGACTCTGTTTCCGAGGTGCGAATTCCTTCATTCTCGATTCAGAAACCTTCTCTCTTTTTAAATTTCTCAGAGAATCTAACCGTTCCTTCGCGATGTTTCGATGAAGGTTGTGAGATCTGGGGATTTGATCTCGTACTGTGCCGAAGAGGGTGTTAGGATACTGGGAGAAGGGAAGTTTCTGGTCTCTGATAGCTTCCCGGGAAACGAAAGAACCAAGTACTGTCTCACTTCCAAGGCAAGTTACCCCCTAAACCCTAAACCGGTTTTAGGGTCTAAATCTTTCCACTGAGTTCTTGTCTGCATATGGGTCAGTGATTGAAGTTATGGTGAATACCAGAAGGGTCTAGGCTATATGTATGGTCCAAGAACTTATTGAACAATGTGTACGGATGTGATGTGCAGATTCCGCTCGGTGTGGTTTTAGCGATTCCGCCGTTCAATTATCCGGTAAATCTAGCCGTTTCCAAGATCGCCCCTGCGATAATCGCCGGAAACTCGCTTGTACTCAAGCCTCCGACTCAAGTAATAGCCTTTGGATCCCTCCCCAAGAACTTCACTTTCCTTCAGAGTACACCATACATCTGAGTTGAGTTGTATATTGATCGTGTATTAATGTGAAACCCTAATTTTGGCTCAAAGGGAGCTGTTTCATGCCTTCATATGGTGCATTGCTTTCACTTGGCCTGTTTCCCGAAAGGTCTCATCAGCTGCATTACCGGAAAAGGCTCTGAGATCGGCGATTTCCTCACTATGCACCCCGGTGTTAACTGCATTAGGTATTCACATATCAGTAGAGAAACCAACGTTTTTGAAAAAACGTATACCGAGAACGAGAAGTAATAGTACCGTTAACCTATTGAGGAATGATCGGATTTCAGTTTCACGGGCGGTGACACGGGCATTGCCATCTCCAAGAAAGCCGGGATGATCCCTCTCCAGATGGAACTTGGAGGGAAAGACGCCTGCATTGTTCTCGAGGACGCCGATCTCGACCTTGTCGCTTCGAACATCATCAAAGGAGGATTCTCTTACAGGTATAAATGTTTCTACGTACACACAACACTATATTTTGTTGATACTGATTTGTCTGAAACAAACAGCGGGCAGAGATGTACGGCGGTTAAGGTTGTGCTGGTGATGGAGTCGGTAGCGGATGCTCTGGTAGCGAAAGTGAATGCCAAAGTGGCGAAACTGACGGTGGGAGCGCCCGAGGAGAACTGCGACATCACTCCCGTGGTTTCGGAATCTTCGGCGAATTTCATAGAAGGGCTCGTGACGGACGCTAAAGAGAAAGGAGCCACGTTTTGCCAGGAGTACAGAAGAGAAGGGAACCTGATATGGCCATTGCTGTTGGACAACGTCAGACCCGATATGAGAATCGCTTGGGAAGAACCGTTCGGTCCCATCTTGCCCGTTCTAAGGATCAACTCCGTCGAAGAAGGCATCAATCACTGCAATGCCAGTAACTTCGGCCTCCAGGTGTTATACTTCTCTCCTCCATCTTTCGAATATTACATTTTAGAAATTGAATTACCCACGAGTACCCGATTTTCGGATATTTGCATTGCACCCACCCATAGTTCTTGAACTAGGATCAAACGGAGGATCTTTGTACAGAAACAAAACCAAAGTATGCAAACTTAAGTAAGATTATTGCAATGGTGAGAAAACGCAGGGATGTGTATTCACAAAGGACATCAACAAAGCGATGATGATCAGCGACGCGATGGAGACAGGAACGGTTCAGATAAACTCGGCACCTGCTCGTGGCCCCGACCACTTCCCTTTCCAGGTGATCCATCGATCAATCATTCTCTCCGTTGAGACATCCCTCTGTGGGTTTTAACCGGGTTTTGGTTTTCGGACAAAATGGAAACAGGGACTGAAGGACAGCGGGATAGGATCACAAGGCGTGACAAACAGCATCAACTTGATGACCAAAGTGAAGACCACTGTCGTCAACTTGCCTTCACCTTCCTACACCATGGGATAGCTGTCTCAGTCATCTATCTATCCATCCAATAAGTTAAGACTGTATTCTTAGATTTCCATCGAGTGTGTTACGAAGAGAACAAAAGCTTTAAGACAAAACATCAACCACAAAGGCTAGTGTACGTGTCCTCTTCTTCAGCTAATGATAAGCAACGCTACGTATGCAAAAGATGATGTTGCAAATCTAAGATAAGCGAAAGCACATATCATCCAATGCACAAACAAAAAACCAAGTGTTTACCGTGCGAGCCGTTTCTTAAAACCCGGTTATTTAAGCAACCCATGATTTCATTAGGGCAAATCTTTGAGAGAGGAGGAGATTTCAACCTCCCCATTAGGGCAAAAGGCGCTTTTGGTACAGCATTTCCCATATATCATATCACCTCCCCTCATTCAACCTGAATACATACACCAAGAGAGATTCAATAACAAAAAGATTTCATTAACGTTTTCATAACGTAATGATGGTGAGAACGAGAGAGGAACGGAAGATTCCATCGCTAAAAAGAAAGAAAGAAAACGACGAGGCAATCTCCTGTGCTCTCCAAAATGTGTTTTGACAACTTTTCCATACAAGAATTCATGTATTTTGTCGTTTTATGTTATAATTCAGTGACGAGGCTGAAGATATGTCGTCTCTTTTGTCGTCAAAGTACATACAATATGGCAAGAGACAGCAACGGTCTGAATTTTCAGATCCAATTTAAGACTTTGGCCATGCCCAAAGGAAAGCAAGAGAGAACAAAAGATTTGATGAAGCATGCATTCTTTTTAGCAAGAAATATAGCATAACAGTAGATGCAAATCAAACGATGCAATACTATCCCATCAAATTAGATGCAAATCAGACAAGGTAATCCATAATGTGTCCATGTTTTATGTTCATGATTATCTTCACAGTACTCTACCATAAGAACTTTTTGTGGAATCTTCAACACGAATTGAACTCTTAAACATCAATAAAAAAGGGCAGCCCGATGCACAAAGCGTCCCCGTTGAGCGGGGGTTCGGAGACGGGTCCCACCACAAAGGTGTATTGTAGGCAAGCCTTACCTTACAGAAATATCTGCAAGAGGCTACTTCCATAACTCGAACCCGTGACCTCTAGGTCACAATGGCAACACCTTAATCGGTGTGTCAACTCTTAAACATCAATACAACAACAACAACAACATGGCCTTATTCCCAAGTTTATTTGGGGTCGGCCGCATAAATCCTTCGTTTCCACTCATTTCGATCACTTGTTAATTCTTTCGGAATCTGCAATACTTCCAAATCATTTCTAATCACACGCTCCCAAGTAAGTCTAGGTCTACCTCTTCCTATCTTTTTCATCTCTATTTCTATACTCTCTATTTTTCTAACCGGCGCGTCTAACGGTCTCCGTTGTACATGTCCAAACCATCTTAAACGTCCCTCTCGTACCTTCTCTTCGATGCCTATTACTCCTATTTTCTTTCTAATACTCTCATTTCTAATTCTATCTATCCTTGTGTGTCCACACATCCATCTCAACATCCTCATCTCGGCCACACTCATTTTTGACATATGTTGCCCTTTCGCCGCCCAACATTCGCTACCATACAACAATGCGGGTCTTATGGCGGTACGGTAGAATTTTCCTTTCAACCGTAAAGGAACCTTACGGTTACAAAGAACTCCTGTGGCTTGTCTCCATTTCATCCATCCCGCTTTTATTCTATGGCTAACATCCTCATCGCAACCTTCATCCTTTTGAAGGATTGACCCAAGATATTTAAAATGCGGGTTTTGAGGGATTGATCCTCCTTGTAGGGTCACTCCCACATCACTAGGCCGTTTGCTACTGAAGTCACAATGCATGTACTCAGTCTTCATCCTACTAATCCTAAAACCCTTAGTCTCTAGCGTACTCCTCCATAACTCTAGTAGTCCATTTACTCCTTAAACATCAATAGAGCAGAAAAAATAACCACAGGAAAAACATATCTTGCAACTTTCAATCTTTATCATATATTTGCCGAAAACCCAGTTTACCAATTAATCTTCGACTTCGGGGGGAAAAAATCACGCAAGCGAACCAAGAATTGGCATATAATCAACTATAACCCAGTTGAATTTAAATAAACACCATAACGAATATATAATAGAACAGATTAAACCAAATTGTGCAAGAGGCTAGTGAAGGAAGGTGGATGTATCTTATGTAGGGGTGTCAAACGAGCCAGCTCGGATCATTTTGGGCTCGGCTCATTTGGCTCGGATCGTTTTGGGCTCAGCTCGTTAGGCTCGTTTTCTAACGAGATCATTGAACACGTGTTCAATGAGCTCTGCCTCGTTAGGCTCGTTTTTTAACGAGCTGAAAAAATTACGGCTCAGATCGCTCGTTTTCTGGCGAGCCACGAGCCAGCTCGCGAGCCGGGCTCGTTTTGACACCCCTAATCTTATGCAATCTCTTGTTATATACTTTTTCATTTCTCTCACACCACATATTATGCATATAATTAAAAACATACCTTATTTCTCTTCAAGCCTCCTATCGATGGAACTCCTCCAAATGCAATCCGATGCAAACACGTTATCGTATCCCGGTATTGCTTAATCATCATGGTCTCTTCACAAGCCATTATGCAGATAACGGAAGTTTGCGCATCCACGGGAAGAAACATGCTGTAGACCTTTCCAACTGTAAAATACATCCCACTTTTCGATGACGAGAACCCTTCTAACATATACGATTGCTACTACATGGTATTCTATATGACGGTTTAAAAAAACAGCCATTCATCATGGTAAAACCATAACTTAAATTCAGGTAATTTCTCGAAACTAGGCCCACGAAAAGAATCTCCTTTTAGGGAAAATGCTGGGCAAAGTTTAACTGAGCAGAGGGACTAGGGGAAGACAACACAAAGACAGGACATACTTTAAGAGTTTTGCATTCTATCAAGGAACAAGTGGTTTCACTTGCCCCTTTCACACAACCCCAAGTTTAAGGGAATTGGAAAATTCACATGGAAACAACAATATACAAGACTAGAATCTTTTGCAAGTGTTATCGGAAATTTGAATCCGTAAACCTGTTATTTCGTATCCGTATATCAATGCGCCTACTGACAAAAGAACATACAAACTGACCGGCAAACAACTTCAAGAGAAGCACACAAACAAATGGCCCATGATGCTAGAACCAACGCAACGTTGGCATAATAAGGTATAACCTAAGTATATAAATTTTCACACGATTTGCCATATAGATGAAGATATATATGCATGAATTTTTCAGGCACACGGGGAAACAAAGTCGTGGCAAGAACTTGGCTGCGAGATACACTACTGAGATTTGGTGTGGAAACAGTTCATAGTTTGGCAAATCAACTATCTGCCTGCTTCATACATTCATTTATATAATACATTGGACACCTAATGCCATCAAGCACATTGAATTCGGGATCGTTTTAGGACTTTTTAGCTCAAGTAAAGCTAACTAAAGCTCGTTTCTTATTTGTGAGTAGAAAACAAATAAATCTAACCATTTACAATTTATAGTTCCAGAAGTTGAATTAATGGTTGACAAAATATAGAGAAAGCACCTTTACCTTTCCGGCCTACATTGTACACAAGAATGGTTAAAACACGTTGAGGGATCCACTGCAAAACCAAACAAACCAATTGATAGAAATTTCAGCGACATTACAATATATGTATATATGATATATAATCGGTTACGAGATCTTAAAGACTCGGAAAACTAATCCAAAACAGCGGGGCAAATGGATCAAAACACAAGAATGATGCAACACACCACAAAAACCACACAATTCCATAAGTTAAGACCAACAAATATTTTCACTGAAAATGGTTTTCTTTAACCTCCTTTGGCTCGAGAAGACGCCCCCGAAAATTTCATGAAAATTCCAATAATGACTAAGCTCAAATTTCACCGGGGTATCAAACAAGCCCTTGGGGGCCACCCTTCATATTCATCAGAAAATCAAGAAAATTTGCAACAAGAAACCAGGTGAGCAAACTCTACCTGCTCAGTCAAGCAAAGTCAAAGATAGCAGCCTCCTATGCCAAACAGCAAGTTGTACGATCACCTAACGCAGAAGGGAGAGGACAAATCTCTTGCAAAGACCAAAAGAGATCCTCGCCAAAAGGGAAATAGATATAATAATGGATCGAAGACTAATTAGGATAAAGAGCTGGATTCTAGAGGATGACTACCAAACCTCCTGAAAGAATTTCATCATGTACTAGCACTACAAAAAAATCAGCAAATTCCAACGAATTTTCCAACGGATTTATCCGTTGGAAATTTTTCAACGGATTTTCAACGGTTTTCAACGGCATTTCAACGGTGATTTCCGTTAAAAATCCGTTGAAAATTTTCAACGGATATCCGTTGGAATCGCCCGTTGGAAATTTTTAACGGAATTTTCAACGTATTCAATTGAAAAAATTAGGGTTGAAATTTTCCAACGGTATTTCCAACGGATTTCCGTTGGAATTTTTTTTGGAAATTTAAAAAAAAAATTCCAACGGAATTCCAACGGATGTCGGTTGGAAATTTTTTTGGAGATTTAAAAAAAAAATTCCAACGGATGTCGGTTGGAAATTTTTTTGGAAATTTTAAAAAAAAAATTCCAACGGAATTCCAACGGATGTCGGTTGGAAATTTTTTTGGAGATTTAAAAAAAAAATTCCAACGGATGTCGGTTGGAAATTTTTTTGGAAATTTTAAAAAAAAAATTCCAACGGAATTCCAACGGATGTCGGTTGGAATACATGTATATTTTGTGTATATACATATATATATATCGATATATATATATATATTAACTATATACATACACATAATATATATATATATATATATATATATATATATAAATTCGAATGTGTATATACGTAAATATATATATACATATATACATATAAATATATATATATATATATATATATGTATATGTATATATATATATATACATATAAATATTTATATACGTCTTTGAGACTATGAAAACATATTCTCTGGATGATAGTCTAACTGAAGAAGCCTTGGTCACAAAGCTCTATATATGTATATATATGTATGTATATATATAAATATTTATATATATGTATATGTATGTATATATGTATGTATATAAATATTTATATGTATAAACATTTATATATGTATATATATTAATGTTATGTAATATCAGAAGTTTAACTTGGAGCAGTTGGATGATTGTCAATTGGAACTCCAGGGTTAAGGAGGATTGAGCTGGAGCAGTGGAAGGATGGGTGACCTACTGGGAAGTGAGTTGCGGGATCGGGATCGGGATAGATGTCGGAGTTGGGGTCGGAGTTGGGCCGGGGGATCGGAGCCGGGGGTCGGGATCGGGATCGGGATCGGGATCGGGATCGGTATCGGGATAGATGTCGGGGCCGGGGTCGGGATCGAGAATATATTTTGAATTTTTTGTTGGAATGTTCCAACGGATTGCGGTTGGAAATTCCGTTGGAAAATTTCAACGGATATCGGTTGGAAATTCGGTTGGAAAATTCCAACCGATAAATCCGTTGGAAATCCGTTGGAAAATTCCAACGGATTGCGGTTGGAAATCCGTTGGAAAATTCCAACGGAAAAATTCGTTGAAATTCCGTTGAAAATTCCAACGGTTTTCCAACGGACACCGTTTTCTAACGACGAAATTCCAACGGATTTATCCGTTGGAAATCCGTTGGAAACGTTAATTTCCAACGGAAATTTGGTCATTTCCAACGGATTTGCCCGTTGGAAATGACCATTTTTTTTGTAGTGTAGCTCCATGGAAGAAATGATGCACTAGCTAGATCTCTATAGGGAAGACAAGTTGATTCACACAATAGCTAACAAACCAATATGTAATCCACAAAATAATAGAACATAATAACCATCATTCATCGCAACCCATCTAGGATTTGAGTAGTTCAACAGCAAAAAGCACACAAAAGCAGCAAAACCCATGATCCATTTGCTAATTAGGCAAAGAAAGAACAGAAGATCACGGCTTTGAAACAAACAAACAGAAAAAAAGAGTAGAAAACCAAACCAAATCTATAATCAGATCCCCGAGTAACAAAACCAATTTGCTCATGCAGAAGCTCAAGAAACAAGAAAAGATTTGCACTTTCAAGAAGAATCCGAAGAGTGAGTAGAGAGATATACCGTCCAGATCAGCTTCTACGGTAAAGTACTCTTCATATGAAGCTTCGGTTTCTTCAAAGGCCAGCAGGACTATCAAAACTCGAGCTTTTCCAAGATCCACTTGAATAAATCAGTGATAAAACATAGTATCCACATATAATATAAAATAAAAATCGGAACTTTCCCCACAAAAATGCCCACCAGAAAACAAACATTCCTATGATCATACGTCTGCCCCCCACTTAAACACAACACAAGACCACCCACAAACACACTCGCACACAGAATACATACACAGACAGGTACATACACACACACACACATGACAAAAGCTAAAGAAACTGTGTCGATCTTATCCATATCACCAACCAAAGCACAGACAGATGAGACGGAAAAGACAAAAAAGGAAATGAGGTTGAAGATAAGAACGAGACTCAGTAGTGCGTGATGTGATAGTGATATGCTCAGAGTTTGCTTTACCTAGGAAGAAAAAAAAATCCAGAGAGAGAGATAGAAAACGGAGAAAAACAACTGACAGAAAGAGAGGTGAGCACGCACACACAATGGTATGGAGTCATACAAATGCCTGCATGTGCTCACTCTCTTCTGTCAGTCATAGTTTGCATTTCCTCAGTCACCTTATCTGCACCCTTTTAAAAAATGGTTCAAATTCCGCCGTGGAAGCACTCATCGACGCCTATATTATCCACAAAACCCAGATGGATTCCCCTAGAAAGATCTCGACTTCGGCTTCGTCTCTCATAGATCTGTCAAAACCCTACCATACTATCACGGTGGGCATTAAAATACATCCCCACTTCTCTCGTCCTCTCGATGTCTCGAGATTTCTTTGTTATTGTTTCGCATTTCTTATGCTTCCATTATCAGCAATGGCGACATAGTCGATATATAGGGAAACACCAGAGAGAGAGAGAGGAGGGTTCGAAGATTACGCAAATGGTGGTTTTTCTTTTCCCTTTTTTTTTTATCTGCTGATTTGGGAAGGCCGACCGACACGTGTCACAATCTGATTAGTCAGATAGATGGTCAAATCTTGAAACTGGTTCACGAACCGGGTCACAGCGTAGCATGAACCGCGGTAAAAGTGGCGCGTGTGCGACACCGCAGGTAAAATTGGTTATCAGCCCAAAAAAGTAGAAACAATTGTCAAAAAATTAATTATATAAAACATAAATTTCAAATTTTGAATATAAAAATATATAAAAAAATAAAATTTTATAGAATATATAAAACATTACATTTATTAACTTATTTATTTCTACATTAATTAATAAATATTTATAACAATAAATTAACATTATAAAGTGTATTAAAAATAAATAAGTTACTAAAAGTATATAATTTTCTAACAAAATTACAAAATCAAAGATTTTATTTAGAATTACATATTGTTAAAATTTTAAACATATGTTTCTTTAAAAAAAAATAATTTTTAATAGTTTTACAATTTATTAAGAATTTTTATAATCGTATAGAATCAAATAATGCATAACTATATTTTATTCTAATCTGGTTTAAAAATCAATTGAATATAATTTTTCGAAAATTGAATTTATAAAAGATAAAAAAATAAAAAAATTAGAGTATGTATATTAACATAAACCTAACTAAACCCATATAAATTTATTGATAAATATAAATCGAAAAAAGTTTATTAAAAACTAACTACAAATCTAAAACAGTTTACATTTTAACTTGTATTTAACAAATCGAGTTATTTAAAAAAAAAATTAATTCCAACTAAAAGACATTTATACGATGCAATCATACCAAAGAATGATCTTTGATTATGTTGATAACAAAAAAAAAACATGCGAATACTTAGACGTTGTGATGAAATCTCATTAGAGAAAAAGAAATAAAATTAGGCTTCGTTGAATCAGGTCTAATTGCATTGGACAACTCTTGCATCATGTAAAAACAACAAGATTCTATTCAAGTGCATTTTTAAGAGATATGCAAGCAAGTTCAACATTGAAATGTATTATTTTTTTTTTTATATTAAAATGAATGTAATATGGGCAAGTAATTTAGTTTGGGTATATGTAAATTTTATTTGAATCATATTTAACCGTTTTTTAATTTCATTGAATATAAGAAATCGATTAGTTATGATTTTGTTCACTAAATTAATCGAATCTGGAATAAATAATAAAATAACTATAACAAATGAATAAATAATTTTTTCTAATAGTATATTTTTTTAACTTAAATTCAAAACCGTATAAAAGTAAAATGAATATATTTTTCTCAATCCGAAAAACTATATGAAAAATAATATACTGAAACATAAAAGAAATCCAAAGTATTTTGAGTTAGAAAATTTATGTTTACTTTGTACTTATCTATGTGTTTACGAGAGTAATAATGACAATCAAATTAAATAATGTGAAGCTAATGATAATTAATGTTTCCATTAACTCACGCGAGTAATCTGAGTTTGGATTTAAATTACTAGTGGTGCCATTGCACACTACGTACGCCACCTAATGGGGCCGAGACTCTAGAGTGTTTGAGAAACCCTAATTCAGCGTCGCCATTAGCGTTTGACAACTTCACCAATGCGTCTTATTTTATTTTCTATTTTTTCTTTTTTTTTTTAAAAATAAATAAATAAAAGAGTTACAAGTACAAATCTTGGAAGCTTAAAAACTATCAAATCAAAGGGGCATGTAACAGTCTCCACGGATTAATGATTACTTACTATATGGATTTTTCGAAAACAATGCTTACATAATTAATTGGTATTGGTATATTACTGTACATAGTACACTGCTCAAGTGAGATTTGTGCAGACCAGGAACTAGCTGATTTGATTGGTGGACGTGTAAATTGAATAATTAAATAATGATAATTAAAAATCTAAAATGATTGAAAAAACGTTACATATTATCCTAAAATGATCTCATGATTGATGCTTAACGTATATAAATATAATATTATTGTAGTAATTGCAGCACTTAGCATATCATGGATGCAGAGATATCTTTTGTATTGAAAAATATCTGTGCAGACTTTTTTTTTATTAATGTATGCACACAAATTTTTCTATTCTAGGGTCACATATTTCAGATACAACCAAAATTAGTTATCTATTTATATAAATTTATGTAAAATTAATACAAATCAAATTAATGTTATATATTTTCCTCAACAAAACCAAATTAAACAACTTTTATTTTGTCGTCATATCATCAATATTACGATAAAGAATGTTTTAATTGATAATAATTTTTTTTTATCACCGGTAGTATGTGTGTGTATATATATTATCGTTCGAAAATTCTATAATGAAACCTTATCTTAAACGTCTCCCAAATTCTTTTATATATCGGTATGTTATCTCTTGTTATCAAAGTTGCAACTATAAAAAGATGTATTATACACCTAAATTTGGATAGTTTAGTCGGTGAAACATGAGTATAAAACGTCTCTCTCACTCCAACTTTGAACCTCAAATTTGAAGAGACGACATCTATTCCAAATCACAAATCATAGAGTTGGTCTCATCCAAGATTAATCTGACCTTACGATAATCGTTTATTTTAACCATTATGACTAATATAACACTATTTACTATTCAGCCACACTCACATGAGTTGCACGTGGCGTCCGCGTTAAACAAAATCAAATCGTGATACCCACCATTTTCGGGAAAATACCAAACACGATCACCATTCACCAAATTAAAATGAGTATTAGTTATTCGACAATAATGTAACTTTTTACGTGATTTTGTTTATATGGTCTCGAACATAATTCTTTTCCTTAATTTTTATAAAAAAAACGAATTTAAAAATATATTTTTCTATTTATTGAATAACTACCTCAAAAAAATAAAAAATAATCCAAAGGTGCCCAGCTAGACCGTATATAATCTTTTATGTAATTGGCATACCTTTCGGTCCGATTCAGTTGATATAGAACAATTTTAGTTTGGTTGGAATTCATTCTATATTAATTTTTCAGAATTCTAATTTTTAAAATATATGAATCTTTTTTTTTCTCTCTCTAAAGAAAAGAGAAGAGAAAGCATTTACTGCATGTTAGGGTTCACGAGACTTCTTCAAAGGGAAGATATAGTTAAATATAGGAAAGGACCTCACACTATTTTGTTTCCCTTGACTTCTATTTCCACACATATATATATATATATATATATAAGAATGTGTTATATAAAAAAAAACTATAAATGGGCAACAAACTCCAAGAGTGATTGAGTACTCCTTATATGCAAAATAATGAGGTTTTGGGAGGGAGGGCAAGGCTGTGACTCAATTGGGTAAAAACAAATTTGAAATTAAAAGAAAAACATTAAAGAAAGAAAGATACGTAATTGGGTCATGGACGCGACAAAGGACGCAAGGACACCGGAGCTTTGGTTGTCAACCGTTGGTTTTATTCCTCCCACTGTCTTTCTGTACCTTTGTCTATGTTCACTCCTCTCTCTCTCTCTCTCTCTCGAGCCCTTTACTTGTGTAATCTTTTTTCACGTTGAACCCTTTGTTGGACCTCTGGGATATTTACTATCAACGTGCATGCAAGATTATAGTACTTCCGTATATATTCGATTTGAATTGTAAAAAAATATCCGGATTTATAGTATATTGGAGATACCACGGGACGAAATCAAATTGAATGAACTGAATTACATCAAATTCGCATTTGGAATAATGTCGCGAATTAAATGAAGTCACTCGTATCTGCGAATACCCCGTCAAGTGAAAAGATGATCCGAACCTAGCCCAAGATTTCGTTGATAAACTTTTTTCTATCCGAACTGTATCTTTAATTTAATAATTTTTAAAAAAATCAAATTAATAAAAAACGAACTGAATACGAATACAATATAAAAAATCATAATGAATTGACATTTTTATAAAATAACTATTTTTTTATTAAAAAACCAAATTCGAAAAAACAATTCAGGTAAAAAAAAATTATCATGAAAACGAATGGATATAATCTTTCATAATCCAAAGAAACGAACACATGAAGATAATCCAGTCAAATTTCAAACCGATCACATCTAATCAAAATCATAAAAAATAATGCAAGAATTTTTTTTGTTAGAAAAAAATAAAAAAAGATAATAATAATAATATAGGGTTGTATCGGTCTAAATCAGTCAAAACCAAAAAAAAAAAAAAAAGGAAAAACAATACGGAAGTAATCTATCGCTTGTTGAATATATATATATATATATATATATATTAGTAAAAAAATAAAAAATAAAATAATTTCAAAAGAAAATGAATATATTGGCAAACGGGCGAGAATGGGGAGTGTGGTCCATGCCCTAATCCACCCCGAAACGTACACACAGATTCTCTCTTCTCATTACAATTGTACTGTGTATCTACTTCTTTTCGACACGGGTGAACTGTTTGCATTTAGTATTTGGAATAAATACAAAAAACATTATCTAGTCCAAACCCTAAACAATATGTTATATATATATATATATGGATATATACATTGGCGGACTTAGAAATATTTATGATTGGGGGCATAGTAAGAATAAATTTAATTTGATCATGGGGGCATTTAATGTTACTAATCAAAATTTTATAAAATTTGTAATGAAATTATACTTTTTTTTTTAAATTTGAAAGTGGGGCATTAGACCCCAATTCTCTTATAAATGGGTCTGCCCATGGATATATATGTTTATATATATTATAACCTAATGTGTCAAAGTATATATCATATATAATGGACATAACACATCATGGGACTAACGATTAATGAAACATCACGGATGATATTATTTTTAAAAAAAAATATTTTATTTTATTTTATTAATTTTAGTACCACTTTGTCATTATTGTTAAATTTCATACATAAGAGATATATAGATAATTGAAGTCGTCTCTTTTATATATTCAAGCCAGTTTTATAATATATAAAATTAGAATGAATACGACAAATTAATCAAATTAAGCTTATTTTCATTTTAACTCGATTCAATATCTAATATGAATAAATCTCACAATAAATTTGAATAACATATAATTTGAAATTATTCCATTATATATCGGAATAATCGTAATTTGAAATGATTTATTTGGTTCTACGGAAGATCTAAACAAATGGAATTAAAACTAAATTTAACATAAACATAACCAAATTTGATTTGAGAATTCTGCCGAAACATAGTGAATAGATTTCGATTTTTGTTTTTCATACATTATTAAGTTAAATCGTCAACCAACCCCTCGTGAAGTATGATAATATATTTTATTTAGATGTCTGCCACTTTTCACTAGTTTCTTTGTTTTTCTTTATTTATTTAATTAATAATCGAGACATTTATATCTACGGTTACAAACAACGTGAACCAAATTTGGCAACTTGCACAAGGAAATATACACCGAAAAATATAAATTAAACCATATTTTTTTAAAAAAAATGTTTATATCTTTATATTAAACTAGAACTTAGGATTCAGTTTTTTTCAAACAAAATATATTGTTATTGATTTATTTATTAATTCAAATTATTTTTAAATCAATTACATATTTACATTCTAAAAAATGTATTATAAATATTCCCTTCTGAACACTTACTCTCTTCGTTTGACAGCACAATTCGACATATATGCGAATTGACGTGATGTGTGGATGGACCACCTCAATACATATACATATATACACCTATACACACACACACAGACACACATATATATATATATATCATTTGACATTTACAAAAATTTCCATTCATTAATTAAATGTGATTCACTTTTAACACAGCAATTCTTTGGTGTCAAATTTGTCCATTTCTTGAAAATATTAATCAAGAATATTAGTTCTGTTATGATTTTAAGATAACTTGGGGAGTCATAATGTACGAGATTAGATTACAATATAGAGTTGAAATTGAAATAAAAACATTTTTTTTATTAAATATCAATTAATTTCTCGGTAGAATTCATATAAGTTAAATTTGAGACGAAAATTTATCTTTTATTCCAATGTAGATCACAAGTGAAGTGTTCAATGAACGACATGAAATCCTTAGATACATTCAATAATTTCCTTTAATTGTGTTGTTATACAACAATTAGCATACAAATCCAAATACCTAATGATGATAATAATTAGAACTAATCACTCAACTAACGTTTAAGTAACACTCTCCTGCAAACTCTGATTTATGATGCTGTGATGAACACAATCAACTCCAATCGGATTCGAACCAAACATATAAATAACAATAAAACATTAATGAAACAAAAAAATTAAGAAGATAATTTTTTTTTTGATAAAATTATAAATAAGTTCTAAATAAAAAATAGTGTATTAATATAAAAAAAATAAATTCGTAATCCGGAAATAATTTAATGGAGACAAAAAATTTACCTCTACGCTGATTTTATTCAGGGAGAAATAGGTTGATGATATATACGGTCGATTCACAATATTCTAATTGGTAAAAATATGTTGATATTAATGTAATAAAGATAAAGTCCACAAATATTTTGACAAAATGGTATTGTTTTATATAAAAATCCAAAGGAAAATTAGAAAATGGTTTGATTTTCCAGAAGAAGAATGGATAAGAAACCACATGCAGGGGGAAACTTGCATCACATGTTTTGTGGACAGAACGAACACTCTGATCATGGAGATCATCATGTCTATCTATGGTTTATATGATGATGCGCGCATAATTCATTTCATCATGTGGATATTTTCAAGATATGATTCTCCTTCTTGAAAAGAAAAAAAAAACCATGTAATGATAAGATTTCGTATGCCTTTTTCCTTCTTCTTTTTTGGGCGAAATTTTATATATATATATATATATATATATATTTTGATAAAGTGAAATTATATATTATTGATAAACCTAATATTCTTTTATACCTACCATTTGTATTGATGAGCTTTGTGTCTTGTCTGAATGATTGTGGAATCAAATAGACAGATTCATATTTCGCAATAAATGTATCATTCTCCACTATGCTAACAAATTATTTTATAAATAACATTTCCGGATTCTGAGATTTATGCTCTCTTATTTATTTATGTTATGTTGTCAAGACAAACCTTAAAAACATTTATTATCGATACACCGGTTTTATTCATTAAAAATATTTGAAAAATTGTTTAAAAAATTATATTTGGAGTACAAAATGCGTACAAACCAATCATTTCACCATTTTTTTTAATCAATAATTCTTCCCCTATAATATTCGATATAGTTATATAAATATTTATTACGTGTAAATCCATCTATATGTACGGTTATAGTTGTGTTGATATAAATTTTATCACATGTCACATGTTACATAGTATAAATTTATGTACGGTTACAATGTGCGCATGCATGTATGTATGTATTGTTTACGGCCATGTCTGAACATGTTGGCATTCGAGACGAATTACAGAGGATTCCTTCCGATCGAAAATCAATTTCATATTTTTATTTTTTTTTAGTTTGGTTTATATTTTAATTCATTTAATCTTATGTTCTGTGCTATTGGACTTCTTTTATTCTTATAGGATTTGAATTTTTTTTAAATTTTACAAAGAGAACATAACTTAAATAATTGCAAAAGAACCCAAATAAGGTGCGTATGTTTGTATATAAAATTTAAAAAAAAATAGAAAAGGTTCAATTCCGTAAAATTGAGATGGAAATCCTGTAATCAATTGCTGGGAAAAGTTTCCACTAATTCCGAAAAAAAATAACTAAAACGGATTTTAAAAATAAAAATTAAAAAAAACATTCGTGGACCCTAATTAAGGACCCGACTGGTTGTACCGCTGCAGTTGCGGTTGCGGTTGGTAGCGTTTTCAGAATGTTTGGTAGCGATGGTGGGCGATTGATACTGACGGTTGATAAGTGGTTGTTGGTGGCGATTGTGGTTGATTGCGATTAGAAGTGAATGGTTGTATACCGTTGCGATTGCGTTTTAATGTAAATTACCAAAAAAGACATGATTTCAACATAATTTTTTAAAATTAATTATCATTAATCCTTATATTATCATTTGATAAAAAAATATTTTATATAATTTATAAAATAATTATAAATAATATTTTAAAATATAAATTTATCAATTTAATTTATTTTTAATTAAAAATATTTTTATCATAAAAATAATTTTTGATAAATCTAAAAATTATATTATCATGTGATAATATTATATATATGTTTCAATTGTCTAATTTTTTATTTGATCATCACAACTAGAAATTTTCACCCGAAAAAACACACAATCACGACGAAAAACGGAAAATCTCGATCTAAGGGTTCAGAATAAGAATTATTTATGCATCAGCGAGCAAAAAATCTCTCATAGTTTGATGGTCTTCTTGCAAAATCATCACAACCCTGAAAAATTTGTACCAAAAAAATTGCAGAAACAACAAAATCTAGGGAAAAACAAAACCAAAATCTAACCGATGAAAACCAACGGAGTAAGATCGGGGATTGCAGAAGGACATCAAATGAAGAAAATGACCCAAATGAAGAAAATGGTGGAGAACTTCTGTTTTTGAACAAAGGTAATCGAAAACTGCGAATAAATAAATAAAAGAACCCAAAACTGAGCATCCATATCTCTTCCCTTTCAATAACCAATGAAATGTTTCTGCAGACATTCCCAGGAAAAGCCATTGCTCCACGGACAAGACTCAATAGCGAATTACAGGGTTTTCCTAAACTAACGAATTATAGGACCAATCTTTCGATAGAACCTTCTACTGAGAATAATATATGCAAAATCTGGAAGAAAAAACAAAAGGGGAAAAGGGATCAAACAAAACAGAGATATATTTAGAAACAACGAAGATGACGAGCTCCGGTGAGCTTCGACGAGCTCCGGCGATCTGAGGCGGAGAAAGAAGACCTAATCGACAGAGATCCGAATACGGAGCTTACCCTGAAATCAAGTCTCTAAGTTCGATGTGAGAGAGAACGTAGAAGACAATTAGGGTTTCTTTTTAAATTTTTAACAAGGATATTTTGGTCTTTTGACTAAAACGCAATCAATCGCTGCCGAAACGCAAACAAAAAGCAGCGTTTTGATTCTTTAAGTTTTGTTGCGGCTGCGTTTTTTGGCGGTTTAACCAGTCAGTTTTTCAACCGCTACCACCCGCCAGAAATCGCAACCGCTCTGTTTACGGTTGGTAGCGGTAGAACCAGTCATGCCCTAACTCTGCTTCCTACGAATACAGCTCTGTGACTTGCCGGATCAAATTGACAGAGCCAAGTAAGCATCTTTTCTTTGGTATACATACTAATTATATTTGGTTATAAAAATTGTATTAAAAATGTTTATACATTATTATATTTTTTTGGAAAATTGTACTAAAAGTGTATTATAACTATACTCAATTCAACAATAAATAATAATTTTAATAACATTGAATTCAAAGACGTACATGTCGACTGTCGTCATCCACTCGAAATAATTGAAAGAGGGAAGTCAGAAAAAGTGACTCATGAACTTTCAAAGAGAGTTCATCTCATCCTTCTTTACTGAAGGAACGATAAGAGAATCTTTGAGTGACAACAATTCCAACCACAGACCAAACATGCCACATCCACTTGCCCGCCCACAAAACACACAATAAGACTATAGACAACGACAAACACCACCATCATCATCTTTGAGAACCCATGATTCTGATTTCACACCATCATGGGATACGAATCGAAAAAGATGGAAACTTTTCTTTTAAGAATCAAGAACAACGACTGAGAATACGAATCTAGAACACGATATGAATTACATGAAAACGAAACGAAATCTCGGAAACTGGGTTGTCCCGGATTGAATTCAGGCCGGTGTTGATGTCCAGACAATGTCCTTGAGAGCTGGTCGGAGAGCCGTGCTGCAGAACTGGTTGTACTCTAACGTATCGCCGTTGTCTTTCTTCACTTCCACCACGAGAAACGTCGGAGCCACCGCGAAAATCTCCGCCTCCACCGCCAGCTTGCCTTTCCGACCACTCTCTTTCCCCTGAATCATCACTCTGCTCTCACTCTTCCTCACCTCGAACTTCACCGACTTCGCTGCCTCCTCTAGCCGCGATATCACGCTGCTCGCCGGCCGCGTCGTGGCGAATCTCATCTCTTGTTTCTCCTCTTTCTTCTTCTCCTCGAACAATGGCGACAGATCGAACCCTTCCGACAGCGCGATTATGTGAAATGCGTTCAGCGTTTCGGTCTCTCCTTTGGCTTTGTTTCCTCCTCCGAGATCGTCGCTTTTGTCTCCGGTGGGTCTCGGGATGGGTTTTCTGAACCAGGAAGATTCCATCACCTTCTCCGTTGAGATTCTGGTGCTCGGGTTCGGATCCAGGAGTTTCGTCACGAGCTTCCTCGCGTCGGAGGAAAACCATGGCGGACACTTGAAATCTCCCCGGTGGATCTTCCGGTACATGTTGACAAGATTGTCGTCCTGAAACGGCAGGTACCCGGCGAGGAGAACGAAGAGGATGACGCCACACGACCAGAGGTCCGCCTTCGCGCCGTCGTAGCCCTTCTTTCCGATGACCTCTGGCGAAACGTAAGCCGGAGTGCCACACGTGGTGTGGAGCAGGCCGTCCTGTTTAAGGTGGTCGGAAAACGCCGAGAGACCGAAGTCGGTGACCTTGAGATTCCCTTCCTCGTCGAGGAGGAGATTCTCCGGCTTGAGGTCACGGTGGTAAACACCGCGACTGTGGCAGAAATCCACGGCGGATATAAGCTGTTTGAAGTACACGCGCGCCACGTCCTCACGGAGACGGCCCTTGGCGACCTTGGCGAAGAGCTCTCCGCCTCGGACGAGTTCCATGGCGAAGTAGATCTTGGATTTGCTGGCCATGACCTCATGGAGCTCCACGATGTTTGGGTGTTTCACCATCCTCATGACAGAGATCTCTCGCTTGATCTGCTCCGCCATCCCCACCTTCATCACCTTCTCCTTCCCGACAACCTTCATCGCCACGCTCTTTCCCGACTGAACGTTCCTCGCATGGTACACCTTCGCGAACGTTCCATGCCCTAGAAGCCGACCCAGCTCGTACTTCCCATGGAGCAGACCCAGGTTCCCTCCTCCGCCGCCTCCGCCGCCGGAACCGGTTTCCGCCATTTTTCCGGTAAGTTTTACACGATATTAAAAAAAAAGCTCAGATCGAAATCAACAAGAAATGGGTATTCGAGGGTCGAATCGAATCGATCGAATCGATGGGTTGGCAAGGATCACCCGTCCTCGACGTGTTTACGGTGGCAATTCCTGCCGCTGACGGACCGGTTGAACCGATCACACAGCTCAGACTTCTTCACCGACGAAACTCCAATCATTTCTCTGCATTCCCTTCGAGGGATGTTTTTCCTCCCTCCGATTTCGATGAAATATACAGAGAATCAGATTTCAATCTATCGAATCGAACACAGATAATATTTTCGATTCTCTCTCTGTTTTTTTTTCCTTCTTCTCTGCCTTTTTTTTCCGGTACAAAGCTCAGAGGGGTAGTGTTTATATAGATGTTAACGCAAGTGGCCGTCCGGAAATGCCCTGATTCAAGAGAGTGGTAACTTGCACCGCTCCTTCTCCAATGACTGACCGGCAAGTGTCGGTCTATTTTTTATGGCGGTTTCGGGTATGACAATAATTGTAAAGGTTCTCTGACACGTGTCCGGATACTACCGGCGATAATCGAGAGATCTATCTAATTTTACGGTTTTAGCCCTGTTCCGAGAGATAGACATTGGGCGTCAAAAATGTTGTGGTGGGGCCCACGAGTTGCAGTTTGTGGAATATTTTAAATGTAATCTACAAATATAGAATAGAATTCGTAAAATACTTCCTCAAGCACAAACCAATGTAAATTTTTAGTTCTGTCCTAATTTTTAGTTTCTCTTTTTTGGTAACTCCCAATTTTTATTTTCCTTTTACGTTTTTTTATCATTGAATTTCTTAGATTCTTGTTATTCTATGCAATAAAAAATAGAAAAATTAGATAAAATATATTTTTTTTAAATGATATCTTAGATCGAAATCTAAACTAATTTTAGAGTCGGTAATAAATCATATGATTAAAATTATACTTTATTTTCTAACTTAAGCTCACTGCACATAAATTTTACCGGTTGAACTATCTCAATATCAATGACAAATAATGCATGTGATAATCGTCACTATAGTACTCATAAGAGATCATATCAGATTTGAATGACAGAAAAAATAGACACACTTATTCTCAATGGATTAAAATAATATTAAAACGAAAAAGGTATATCTTCCACACACAAAAATAATAGATATATCTTCTACCAAAATAAGATTTATCTGAGGTAAATATCATTTATTGAAAAAATGTTTATCATAATATAGCATATTATGATGAAAATTTTGATTAAAATATCTCATATTTTTTTGGAAAACGAAGATAATAATTATATAGTAATAATAATAATAAGAAGACCTAATTTGACTGATCGAGACAAGAGTATGTATGTAGGTATCATTGCATGTGTTATACAAACTACTATCTGGACCACTCGTTGACACGTGTCTCCGGACTATAAGATCGTCGTAGCAGTAACTATCAAAATGAAAAATAATTATTCGAATTTCCTCCATACTATTGCTAGTTATTGAAATCAAATAAAAATTGTTACATTTTGTTTTTCTAATCTATTCCATTTTTTTGTTATTATTATATTCATTAAAGGATTACTAGTTACTGAAATCGACTTTTATATTAAATGGAGAAAATTTGATTTTATTATATATCTAAATTATTTCTGACAAATGATTAGATTTTAGAATATTTTAAATAAAATATCCAATAGCGATTTTGAATCATTGCTATGTTCAAAAAGTCACTCTAGTGAGTCCCTTCAAAATCGATCTAGATATATAAGATATAATGTTACAAAATAATAATAATCTTTTCAAAAGATATGTGGTTTAGTGTCTAATTGCTTAGGTTTATGCGGTTGGTCTCTTGTTGTTATTGATGCCTTTTTGTTCGGTTAGATTTACTGATCAAAATATAATTTAATTTATATTCGTCGAATAATTTTAATCCGGTAATCCTGAATTATAATAATAAATTCCAAATAAAATGATGAAATCTGAAAAATCAAAACAAACAATGATACATTTATTTTAATCACTTAATCCTCTCTAGTCAACTAACATGCTACATACTTGTGTTTTTAAACATTACTCATTAGAGAATTCCTTTATTTGTTACAAAATAATTTATAAGGAATGATTAATACATTTATGTAAAATGATTTACACATCTATTACATGTTATTTTTATTTTTTATGTTTTGTATGTTCTAATAGATGATTCTACATGTCTCTCTTTCGCCATGTTCCGTCGTTTTCGAGAATTCAATGAAAATAATGTGGACTATTATTTTTTATTTGCAGAAAATAACAAATTTTAAGGAAGAAGTTGCATCCGATGTCCCCCAACACGGTCAGTCTCTGGCTCTTCCACATCCACCAGTTCATTTGGGCGGCTTCAAGTCACCTATTCTCTCTCGTGGGGTCTTCTCTGTATCCACTTGTGTATATGTCTCTATATATGTATGTGTATATATGTGTGTACATATATATATAATCAGTGCATGTATATAACAATCAATCCAAGATCAATTCAACATTTTATTGGGAAATAATATGCAATATGCCCGTTGGTTTCAACCAAACAAATTTGAAACTCCAATGTGCTTGTTGGTTTTAATCTCATTCCAACAGTTGGGAATATATATATATATATATTCGTCTCATTTCAATTTCCAATCGTTGGATATATATATATATA